TCAAAGAGCTGCTTGAAGCTCGACGTAACCTTGGCGCACTGCCACTCCAACATCCAATCACAGAGCTTGAGGACTAATCACGGGGTTTGTCAAGCAAAGCGGACTTTGAAAACCATGCGAAAATGTCGTCATCAGCAGGCCATCACGTGGTTTCCGAAAATAACCGAGTGACACGAGTAGATTTTAGCCGAGACCGGCGGAAAGTTTGTCTCAAAACTCAGTGTGTGTAAAAAGACGATCCACAAGCAGAGATTTGAGATCCACAAGCAGACATGTTCACACAAATCATTATGAGACATATCGAAGCCCATATAATAAGCTGCTGAACAATCGACCTAGTTGGTCGTTTTTTGGAGGAGGACAGGCTGATAATGTGTGTGTGTGTGTGTGTGTGTGTGTGTGTGTGTGTGTGTGTGTGTGTGTGTGTGTGTGCGTGCGTGCGTGCGTGCGTGCGTGCGTGCGTGCGTGCGTGCGCATGCGTGTGTGTGTGTGTGTGTGTGTGTGTGTGTGTGTGTGTGTGTGTGTGTGTGTGTGTGTGTGTGTGTGTGTGTGTGTGTGTGTGAGACTGAGACTGAGACTGAGACTGAGCCTGAGACTGAGACTGAGACTGAGACTGAGACTGAGACTGAGACTGAGACTGAGAGTGAGAGTGAGAGTGTAATTCTGGCTGAATTACCCCCTTATGATCTAATAGGAGTAATTGCCTTTTTGGCTTCAGTTTAATGATGACCTTTCCTTTTTATTAGGCTTTGAAGCATGTTCTGGCATATGTCTGTGTTATTTTTACATTTTATAATCATAACAGTTATATCGCCGTGAAAACTGAAAGCCCTGTTTCAGTTGCTGAACATGCATAAATCTGGCGTGTAAACATACAGTATGTAAACATGTCCTTGTTGAAGCCCACACAGCATCACGTTAAAGTGCTTTTTTTACTTGTCATAAACAGATGATAAGCTATCTACCCCTCAACCAACGCTTCTAGATAAAGTGACACAGCACATTTTACAGTTATTTCATGCAGCCTAAGGGTATATAAAAAGGACGGATTAAGGAAGATGTCAAAATTCTTCTAGGTGGCGCCAAAAAATAATGATGTGCGCATCAGGCAGGATCACGACAACAGGTGCAGCCACGATTCATAATGAAAAAAACATCACTTTTAATACTGGCAACCTGCCAGGTGAAAGACACAAAACTCTGGGATGATGCCCTGTATGCTAGGTTAGTTACATGCAATAATGGGACATGAATGCAAAGAGATAAAGAGAGAGAGAAATATGAGAAGAGAGGTGAAAGGGGAAAGTCCCCCGAGAGTCTTAAGCCTTATTTTGAATGCAGAGAGGATACCTGCCTCTTGAACACAGACTGAGAGGCTCTGGCTGCCTGTAGTATCTCATTCATTGACCTGACCTGTAAGACAGTCTCAGCTCTAACCAACCATAACTCATGGGCTCATCCAACCAACAAAACCTATCCAGGCAGCAAGGCCAGCCTGCACCCAGGTAAACTTCAGGTGCATTCAAAACAAGGATGGCAAAAATAGAATACAAAAGCTTTGAAAATACTTCAGCATACAATTGTGCTTCTCATAACAAATGGTAGACAATCAACTGTGTTAGAATGGTTTGTGAATGTTTCTATACTATTGATTTGCACTGGGCTTTACTATTGATATTGGGAGCACAGCGTAATAATAATGATATGTATTTATATTGATTGAATATAATTTACACCCAACAGTGTTTATAATTGTGCATTTCCCGCTGACTGAGAACCTGTTAATTGCTAGAAATGTTATCAGCAGTTATTGCTGACCAGTGCGCAACAGATTATTGGACTTTGGGGACTGAAAAGGGTACACATTTTGTGCAAAATAAGCATTACAGCTTTTTTGGTTGCCTTTGGAGGAAATTGCTCTGAAATAGGACTGGTCTTGTCGACCTGATATGATGTATTGGGTTAAGAAATGGGGATTAACAAGGATCTAGTCTATGAATTGGGACACAGCCTAAGCATATACGTACGGGATGGAAAATCCTGACTTTGCTATTTCGAAGCAACCTTGTCCTGACAGGATTTAGTGTATTATCCACGTAGCCATGAGAATGACAAACATTACTTGAATCTCAGCAAATTAATTTGACATTGACAGAACTTCAAACCTCAAAGATATGAAAAAAAGGCTGTCAATCATTTTATGCTTTTCAAGGTCTACAGTAAGTAAGTGTTGAGGCTACCTGCACTCTCTTAACTGTATTGAATCAGCATCTGTTGAACTATGTATCTCTCTCGCCTTTTCCTGCCTCTTGCATACATTCTCTCTCTCTCTCTCTCTCTCTGAAATGAGTGACTCAAATAACCTTCGTGCCTATACTTCTCTGCCAGCATTAAATGAAATATGACTGCACTTCAACGTTAATTATACAAGGAGGGGTTAAAGATAGACCATGCTATTCATGCATCCACAGCACTGGTTATTATGGTAAGTGTTTGACAAGTAAAATACAACAGTCCGTACCATATAGTGTATATTTTTCTTAGATTTTAAGCATAATTAAGATTCTACAGTACGAACAATGACATTTCAAGGCATTGCCTCAATATCTAGATTATTTGTATTCATGATTGTAATGTTGACCCAATAACTGCATGTATACAGGGTTAACTCAACTAAAGGGTTTTGACTGGAACATGATTCACCGGGATGCTTATATGCCCTTAAGAGAAGCAAGTTCCAGCTGTCGTTATGATCACAGATAGCTTATGCTGCATTCTAATAAGCTACCCCGTCATACATTGGAACAATCTTTCAACAACAATTGAAGACTGAGTGCAAGCTGAATAGATGATAGCATTTTATTCAACAGGATCAGATCTAATGGGATGTAAGTGTTTTATCTGTGACCATACTCCACAGATTGTGAAGGCAGTTGTTGACAGTTTATCTTGATTGTAGCTTTTTCCGGCTGCAACCTGCTGCAAATTCTGTGTGTGTGTGTGTGTGTGTGTGTGTGTGTGTGTGTGTGTGTGTGTGTGTGTGTGTGTGTGTGTGTGTGTGTGTCTAATCTAATCATCTTATCAGTATAAGTAGTGTTGCAATAATTAGGGCACACACATCTTGACACACTCTATTAGGATATCAGACTCACACTCTCTTGACAAGTGTTTCTCAAGAAGATGGCTGCATGGGTCTCCAACATCAAAGTCACATGCACATAGGACTAGAGAACTCATTTCATGTCCAATAAATCAGTGTCTGCGGGCACTGCACAAGATGTTTACCATCTCAAAGTAAAAAGGAAACATAAAGGCTATTAAGAATGTCAGTGTTGTGTAAGAGTCAAATTAAACAGATGTCCTGAAACATTAGTCATCTCTGTGCTTTTCCTGGCACTATCATTTGCTGAAATAATCCAGTGCTCATACACTATATGGTACACACTAAAAAATATTATGGTTGTTGAATGTCAACCACTCCTACGCTAATGTACTGTAGCTCCAATATGAAGTTTACTTTTCCTACAATATTTAATCTCCTCTGGCATTTGTCTCTGCATTCTACATTTCTCAAAGTGCACTCTCAAACAGCACCATTGCTTACACTTTCACACTATATTCCATTTTAACAGCCCTAACAGCTTATCTCCTCACACAACCTGTCTGAGGTGGTGCATACGCCACAAACTGGACTGTAGTTTGGAACGGTCCTGGAGCATGTTCACAGTATGTACACACATTTGATGACATGGTAATGACAGCATTAGTTTCATAGGCACCAAATGGACCCTTATGGACGCAGACTTAGAGAATAATTTGGCCTTGGAATCATTTCAACCAACCACATGCACTGATGTGCACTGGACCCTATCCCATGATCTTCTCCACTTAATGGAACCTGCTCAGTTGTCATTAGAAGACGTCAGTACATTACTAAAGTTATGTTAATGTAGCTCAATAGAATTGTATTTAAGGAAAAATGGAAAATTATTCAACAGTGACCTACCTCTCCAGAAACAATGTCCCAGTTAGTTAAACCTGGCATAATTGTGTATTTTGTAAACTAAATATTTAATATTCAGTTCATCAGTGTAAATATAGCTCAACAGAACCACTTCCTGGGAGACATTTAGCTGGCTGAGAGTCTAGTGAATAAATATTGTATAGAAGTGTTCAATGTATGAATATGTTTGTGAATATAATTGAGGTCCTCCTTGTCAAAGTTTTCAAGGTTTGCACTGAAGCCAACATTGGATTTGTTGTGTTAAGTTTTTTAAAGGATGTGCTCTGCAAATACTCTGACAAACAGCCTCATCACAGTAAAGGATGCATTCTTTTTGGATGCATTCTTTTTTCCTTTCTTTGTATTGAAACAGTAATGGAAGAAGGGCCGAAATCAGTGCCATTGTTCATGTAACCAGACTTTTCTCTTCTTTAAGGTTGTACATCCTGGGCTAATATTTATTTCGGCCCAGATTATAGTAAAACTGTTTGGGGAAAGTGTAAATCCCTGGGATTTCTACATTTGTTCATCAACAAACCATTCAGGCCTTTACAGACACACACAGCTCTTGTGATTAAACAGAAAGGGTGGGGGCAGGGAGTCTGCTGGGAGCTGTCTCTTTCAGCTTTTGCTCCGAGGATGATGGTCAGCAGTGGTTATGTAATCCAAGTGGATAGCTGAGCTGTTCCCCTCTGTGATGCATGATGCTTTTGTCTGTGTCCCACTAACCGGGTTGCTCCTAGCACACTAGCAACACACGTGCACATAATGTTGTACAGTAAGGCCAATGTTTGACAGTTTAGAGGCCGACTTCCTTTGATTCACCATACTTGCTGCAGTTGTTGCATTGAGGGATATCTCAGCATTTATTTTAAGGAATACATTGTTATGATAATGGTTATGAGTAGAATCTATGAAAAAGAACAAGTTACATTTACAGAATTGCCATTAACAAAAGTTTAGTATACTGGACACAGCACTAAGCAGATTCTCCATCAATATCAGATTTTATTTTGCATTTGATCAATTCCTGCATATCCATGCACAAAGTATAGTATAATGCCCTCGCAGGGTTGCAGAGAGAGAGAAAGAAAGAGAGAGAAAGACCAAAATATATGTTCCACGTAATGTATTACAGGGTATAATAAGACAGCAGCAACCCACATTGCTTGAACTCAATTAGTGTTACGTTGTCAAAATTAGGTTATTAAAATTGGTTAACTTTATTTATAAACTTCGTGTTATATTATCAAGTTTTCTCGAATGTCTTTATTTGCCTGAAAAAAAAACAGGTTTATATGCATTTTACTGTTACCAGATATGTCTTACAATATATCTAGACGGCATTTCATACAAAATAAATACTTATATAATGCATGATACGTTTATATCATCACTGTAAACATGAAAAACAAAACGTACGTCATATATTTACTGTACTACACGTACTGCAGAGTCAACCATTAGTGGTCCAATAGCACCATACATACAAGCTGTTCCATATTTATATTTGGTTTGATTCTCACGCTGTCTTTTTTGTGTTTTATTTTTTTTACTCTCAATCACAGCATATATTTTTAAGTCCGCTCAGTTTTCTTCTGCTGGATCAGACAGAGTCCACCTTGACTTGGTTATTGTTGCTCATGAGTGGTGACGGTTTGCTCTTGAACCTCTCCACCGCCTCGTTGGAGCTCTCCTGGAATAAGATGCGCGCCGTGCACACTGACACAACGATGCGCTTGTACTCACGGCGGAAGTTCTGGTTCAGCACACCGTACACAATAGCATTAAGGCAGCTGTTGAAGTAGGCCATGAAGTAGCTGGCCACAAATAGCCACTCCGGGATGAGGGGAACCACCACCTCTGGTTTGATCGCTACAGCCAGACCAATGAAGTTGAGCGGCGCCCAGCAAACAGCGAAAAGCACAAACACGACAAACATGGTGACAAAGTTTCTAACGTCGTGTGGCGTTAGCTTGGGACCGTTGTCTGGCTTGACCCGTCTCCTTACCTGTATGACAAGTATCCAAATGCGTAGGTAGCAGTATGTGACAATCATGATGGGTAGAATAAAGTGAAAGAACACCACTGCGATAGTGTACGCTGAGCTAGCCGACTGCTCAAATGTGCAGGAATAAACCCGTGGGTCGTACTGAAGTGACCCCACAAACAGGTTGGGCACGATGGCCACCACAGTCAGGGCCCAGATTATCAGTACATAGCAGACAGAGTTTTTGTCACTGTACAATTTATCATACTTGAGGCTGTGGCAGATATAACAGTAGCGATTAATGGCAATGCCCGTGATGTTGAAGATTGAGCCGATGACACTGATGCCCATAAGGAAGCCGCTGATCTGGCAGTGGACGTAACCAAGGTTCCAGCCATTATTGAAGATGGAGGTGAGGACCAGAGGGTACGGGTAGATGGCCACCACGAGGTCTGCCACTGCAAGGCTCACCACAAAGATGTTCCCTACAGACAACACACACACACCCACAGGAGAGATAAGGGAGGAGAATGAGTCATTGACAACCCAAGCAGAGCAGATTTGTCATCCAAATGAACAAGACCAAGAGAGTGTGAATTATTGTGTAGAACAAAGTATTAATTCAGAAACACTTTTTTGGAAAACTATGAGAATGAAGAGAGGTGATTGAAGATGAGAAATTATTGTATATGTATGTATAAATGTAAATGTCAGTAGGAATAACTTGCACAATGACTTAAAGGACAATCATTGATCAAGTAAGGGGTGGGAATTAATAAGCATTTGCTTCATCCTACTCCCTTTCGGACACATATGATTTATTTTTTATTTTTAATTATTATTATTATTATTATTATTAATATGAAGATTTTTTTTGTTGTTGAATATATAAATATTATCGTGAATGTGGATAAATACTGTATTTTAACAATACGGTATTCTGTTTTTTTCACATTTGTTATTTTTTATTTGTTATTTTTTAATCTGTTCGAAATAAAGATTGAAATAATAAATAAATAAATAAAGAGATCTGCCTAAAAAAAAATCTTTACCACTTGTTTGCTTAATTTAGCATTTTTACCCTACTGGCAGCCATTGTTTCAGTATGGAGAAAGCTTTAGTACAAACAATATAGAACAAATACACGTGCAGAAGACATAGAATAAAAACATGAACATCACAGAAAAATTATCGGTTACATTACCAAGGTTCTTTCTGACCAGACTATTTGAAGCCTGGCTTAAGGTTTATTGCTCACTTGGTACTTGAGCCTAAAATTCTAATTTGGTCAATGAAGTAGAGTGCATTATTTTAGAGCAATAACTCTAACCGAAGTTAAAGTATCACTCTGAAAATGTTCCATGTGACAATCTAAACTGCGGTTCAAGACTCTCCATTTTATAAAAGCACTAACATTTAAAGCAAAGCAACAGCTGCCTGACCGAAGGGACAGTTGGACCGGAAACTAAAAAGCTGTCGTATGCTTTTTAAACGGCCGGCAGTACTTTAAGTCTACATGATTTGGAAATATGCTAACACATGCAAAAATACCAGCATAATTCATTCATCCATTTTTGTTGCTACTTCATCACATAAGCAACAGGAAAAGGGCCTCAAGGCGAGATGTAGAGCGGAAATTCATCTGCACATTTTGTACTGTTCATGGGTTTGTTCACTTGTGCATAACAACATTTGGTACTTTCCCCCAAAGATTTAGCGTGTGAGAACTTCCATCCAATAATCAACGGCATACAAGTGTATTCTTAGTTCCCAAACTAACGATGAATTTAGATTAGATAGAAGAGAAATAAATGATATGCACTTGAAAGGGGCAAGAGACTATCTTATTACTATTGGTTATTATTATTATTATATTACATGATACTATTATCTCATTTACACTCAGAAAACAGCGTCTCGTGTGCAATTTCATTTCTGCTCTGACGTTTGGACTCCGAGTATCCGACACCTTCCATGACCTGTCAGTCTCACCTGAGCAGGAGAATCATTACTGATCGGCCCGATGGACTGTTCTCTCCCGTACAGCATACCAACCACTCTACTCACATGTGGCTGTTAATTCAGTTTTGTCCTTTTATTTTCAGCCTTCTGTCATTCAGCTGCCCTCTATATGGAATTAGGTACACCTGCTGATGACACACGTTCCCATGGTTTCTAGAAAGCTTTCCCATATGTATGTGTGTGGGTTCATATCTAACTGTCATTGAGAGAACCTTGAAAGCGAGGACACTTTTGGAAAGGGAAAACATTTTTCCAAACTCCTATTTGTGAATAAATAGCTGAACACCAGAAGATAAAACCAGTCTAAGGCTTGGTCATTGGTAAAGCTCAGGGACAGAAACAATGTGTGTGTGTGCAGAGATGGCTGCATAGTTAGAGTGCCATGCACAGGGCCAAATGAGAATATGTTTTCCTTGTTCAAAAAATAGTTGACCAACAGTCATCTTTAGTGTTCTCCCTTTCCCTCCCTTGGCTATTCTTTACTTGAACAACCCTGTCACTGGAATTTAATGCCACTCTGGATTAACAGCCTTGACCTTGACAAGGTCATGTCATGAATGGCCTACAGGCAGCTGCCTCTCTGGCAGTTGTACTCTCCCTCACTGTCTTTGTCCATGCTAGTCCTGTGATTAAAGCAGCTCAGTGTTTTCATTTGGCTTGGGGAGAGATGTGGCCTGTCTCTTTCTCCATTTTCTGTTTCTGCAATCCCACACTTTTAACCAATTTGGGTGCAAGTGAAGCCCATCTGAGCAATGTTCCCTTTGTAGCTCGCAATGAGTTTTGACACACTAACTGGCAAGCTGAAAATATACACAGTGCTATGGCCATATCCAGCCAGCTTGTTTTTTTCAGCAAATGATGGTGTTGCAGGATAATCTCTAAAATGGAGGACATTATGTTTTTTTAGGCAGGGACTATTAACAAATATATATAATATAAGTTTATAAATCGCTTAAAAAATATTTTTAACTCTGATAATACCTCTGAGTCTGTATCTACGGAGCCCTGGAGGGTTCATAGAGAGAAAAATAAATAAAACGAGACCACATTTAATAATATGTGCGCACGATATACTTTCTCGTGGTAAAACACATCGAACTGCCCGATTATTACGCCATATTATTAGTTTTATGAAGAATATGTCCGGTCATCAGGGCGTGCGTGTGTGTGTGTGTGTGTGTGTGTGTGTGTGTGTGTGTGTGTGTGTGTGTGTGTGTGTGTGTGTATGTGTGTGTGTGTGTGTGTGTGTGTGTGTGTGTGTGTGTGTGTGTGTGTGTGTGTGCCGGTGCACTCCGGCAGGACTATAGCACTACATCAAGATTAAGATTAAACGAATTTCTTTCACGTGGGAATACACATATAACTATGGAGAACCAGATGTGTGTAAATTACTGTTCATGGTAATTTGAAAATAAAATGCCGGTGACGGACACACACAAACACACACATCATGTGCCCTGGTGACCGGACATCTCCTTCATAAAACGAGTAATAGGGGGAATAATCGGGCAGTTCGATGTGTGTAGAGGTGTGTGTGGTTAAACGTAGCAGCCTCAATCTCTATTCAGCTGTTCTAATGAAGGGAAACAGTGAAGTAAACAGTAAAAGGCACAGCTCTTTGCAGCTGGTGCTGCTCTTCTCAGATTCTGCTGAGTTACACGTTACTGCCTCCAGTGCCCTGTACGACGAAGCCGGTTCAACAGACCCTGGATATGTTTGAGTTACCCGGCTTAACTAACCCTAACAAACGCGATCTCGCTAAGCGGTCCTACGAAGCTGGTTATCAACTCAGTAAATCAACCAGGGTTTCTCTGTCCGGCTGAGAGCGCGTTCACATGAAAGGGACGGGGTTAGCAACATTTGACCAATCACAAACATGGAGAAGCGTGCTGACAGCGCAGCGTCATACTTCATGAATGAATAGTAAATAGCAAATCCGGCTTCGTAGTACAGGCCACTGGTGCCGCAGAGATTTCATAAAGTGAAGGAGGTTTTCCTTCTATAAAACAGCTGTGGGCAGCAGATACTGTGAGAGTCACAGACATGAATTCATAGATCAAAGCAGACTGGTTTAGAGACTCTTCTGTTTTGCGAATCCGGTGCTTAAACAAATAGCTCTAAACCCCTGGCCGAAATGTCCCTAAATGAAGTCCGAGTTTCAAATATATCTCAAATAATGTATGCACTGCCATTTCTCCACATAAACATAACAGTCTGCAATGAAACGGTTGTCTCCTCTGTGCTCCACTTCCTACTTGACGCACCGGTAACTTTCTCGTGCGAACGAGAAACTAACGAAATACTTTCTTGTTCGCACGAAATACTATATCGTGCGCACGAGATACTTTTTTTTTTCTCCATGAACCTTTAGGGGCTCTGTATGTATCAGCTTGAAGCATTTTACTCCATTTTTCAGAGCAGTAACTCCAGTTCAGTCAATCTGAAAGTGACGCATCCAAACTGAGGTCTTTCCACAGATTTTCCAAAGGATTGAAGAGCTGTCTCGTACAAGATCATACCAGGATGGTCACTTTCTTGTCCTGAAGCCACTGCAGTGATACTGAATCCTGTGATTTGATATGAAGCTTGTGCTCTCACAGGAGACCATTTTATTCTTAAAAATAAATATCTGCTTCAATGTGTTCATTGACTGCTTTAATTTAATAATTAAATTATCCAAGTTCACATCTTTCAATTAAATACGCTTTATACTTTCCACTCATTGCAAGTCTTTCACTTATCAGTGCACTTTTTATGTTCTCCTATCAGCTGCTCCTGCATTTCCGTCTCACAACACATAGGGCTTCTTCCTCCAACCTCACATGTCAGTGCAGTGACGTCTTTCAGTACTTTGACATGTCACCCTGAAAAGTGCTGCTCTGAATGTTGTCATTCAAAATGTGGTATCTCAGCAAACTCTTTAGTCTTGTGATGAATCTTTTTGAGATGTTTCAAATTTGAATGTTCTATTTTCCTGAAATGTAAACACATTATTTGTTTTCAATCCAAACCTGATTTTCCCTCAGCTCAGTTCCTATATATACAGTTAATGCTGCACACTTTTAGAAAAGCTGTCCAATTATGTTTAAGGTCACAACATTAAAACAACATTTTAAAAGCCATGGAAACTGGACTGCCAGGTCCTCCATACTAAAAGAATAAACAAAAATGCATGACAAATATAGAGAGTTCAATTCTAACTAAAGATAAATGACTCATGCAGTGTCAGGCAGCAGAGTGTGTCAGGGAGAGCTCCTTCTCCTCCAGCCTTCCTTTTATAGGCCCAATTCCAAACCGCCCCCTACACACTACCCCTCCGTTTTGCGCACCCGCCACATTAAATGCTATTCCAAACCAACGAGTGTGGAGGGGGAGTGGGTTATCAAGCCCTCCAACAGCGAGTCTGCATCGGTCCTGACTTCACCTGCTGCACTACCTGACCGACTCAACGCTGTGTGTGTCC